GTAGTGTGTGGTACTGTAGTGTTGTCTTACTGTAGTGTGTAGTACTGTAGTGTGTAGTACTGTAGTGTGTATTAATGTAGTGTTGTCTTACTGTAGTGTTGTCTTACTATAGTGTGTGGTACTGTAGTGTGTGGTACTGTAGTGTTGTCTTACTGTAGTGTGTGGTTCTGTAGTGTTTGGTACTGTAGTGTGTGGTACTGTAGTGTGTAGTACTGTAGTGTTGTCTTACTGTAGTGTGTAGTACTGTAGTGTGTAGTACTGTAGTGTGTGGCAACTGTCTTAACCCTTTATAGGCAGAAGAAGATATTATTGAGCTGAGACAAACCCTTACCCAATAAAAGATTAAGGCATCACGTTTAGTTGACAACGTGTCCAGGAGTCTTGCCAGGTCTCCAACACTAGGATGGGTATACACAGGGGCGTATTGATCTGTTGTTTTGGGAAGTCTATAATTTGTAGCTTCAGTTAATTACAGAATCCTGGCGGGTTGAGGTGATGATTTTATATATATATATATATATATATATATATATATATATATATATATATATATATATATATATATATATATATATATATATATATATATATATATATATATATATATATATACAGGTATATATATATATTTTTTTTCTCCACAGCTTCGAGTGGGTGTTCCCAGACTTAGTCACTGCAGGATTCCAGCAGCCTAATGGTACTTGGCTAGGCGTTATAAGCTATCTTATCCGCCAGGTGAGTCTGTTTTGTTGTAAGGTAAACAATGGTAAGTCATCACTAATTATCCTATTCGTGTGTTTCCTTAGTATGTTATATTGCTCGCGATTGTTTCTGTGAATATTTCTCAACATTGTTTATTGATAGAGTTCATTATACTGAGATGGTTCAATTTTGTTGCATTTTTTTCCAGCCTTCACCTCAACTTGGTATTAATAATAATATCCATTTGTCAGGAGTGTGATATATCGGGTTCTTCATTTCCTATGAATCATCTGCGATTTCACACTGTCGACTTCAGTATACCGATATTCATGGAGTCTTCTGTGATTGCATACCAGAGTCCAGTAATTGGAGCAGATCTCGCTGGTTTTGTGAAACCTTTTACAACTTTTGTGAGTTTAATAGTTTTACGTTGTGAAGAGATAAATTAATGTTGTTATTATTGCGTCAATAGTAATAAACTAAATAAGTATAATGGTACAATTAACACATCATAAGCCTCTTTGTCCCTTACCTTCTTCCCACTCAGAGCGTCTCACTTACAGGTAATCACTTGAGAACAGAAAGACAAAAAGATCCAAGATGTTGGTTGATTCTGATGCTTAGAAACTTCTGAGACAAAATCCACTTTACTCAGTAAACAGTAAATGTAACAGAACATTAAAGAATATCGTGAGGGTCACATTTAGCTGTTTTCATCAACTTCTACGTCTCTGTCACGTGTGAATAGTTTGTATATAACACACAGTGCTAACACCCATATCCGATACTTATCATCTCCCGCCGCACAAAAATCATATCTTAATGATCTAGGAAAAGTAAACTTGCACATAATAGTTACTAAGGAATTTGTCAAAAATCCTTTTTACATTTATTTTTTTACTTAGTCTTAGTTAATTTTGTTCATGACATGTCACGGCGGTGGTGCATACTGTAATGAACGCTTCACTACTTGTCGGTACACTAGGGTCAAGAACTATACATACATATTATCAATTTAACTTGTATCTGTACTGAATTTTTTCTTTGGTCAAGTACTTGTACGGCTCCTGGCACCTGCTTAAAGATTAATAAATTACCGTAAGTGAAAAAAATATGGGAGTTGGAAAAGTGAATGTAAGCAGGAAACATATAGAGAATTGTTTTGACCTGGTATATACAGTATTACACATATTTGCTGTCATTCACGGTTATTTAGTTCTATATCCCTTTACAATGTGTAAGAGGCGACGATTCTTTAATTTATCGCCAAGCAACCTTATAACGCCGTGTCACGGGAAACTAGAAAAGGTGGATAGGTGAAGGTGAGGGTTATCTAGTACCGTTCCTTACCTCACCTCCAGTACCCTCTCGCGTTAGCCTCAATTTTGTTCTCTGAAAGTCAACACAAGTTCAATAGGTGAGTTAAAGGTGATATAATAAGTCTATATTAAGAGTTGGAAAATTTCATTTCAGAAGAGAAAAATAGAAGATGAAAATAGAGAATATATAAATGACTATAACGAATGTTTGTCATTCACACAGAGATATAGAGGACTTCCTTCTTATATCATTTACAATGGAGAATTGGCCAACATCGAGCAGTGCAATCTCGAAAGCCATTTTCACACGAAGCACAGAGACTTCACTGAGAAATATGCAGCTGGAGATGCCAGAAAGAAAACTGTGGAGAAAGTGAAACACAAAGCAGAACAAAGTGAGAGTAAATTCACGAAATGAGTGAAATCTTTAAATGACACAACTGCAGACAGTGTTGTGGTAAGTCAAGAGATAATTAAACGAGGTCCTTTCAAAGATGGTGCATACATGGAGCATTGTTTTACTGAAGCATCAGAGCTGTTTAGTGAATTAAGGAAGAGCCAGTGTCTGCAAAGACGGTGAGGGATAGAGCATTAAAATGGCCAAAGACATCACCAGTCGGCAAACTTATGACATTAATTCAGTCCAGGACATATCTATTGAACGTGAAGAATCTTGTTGATGATGATGATGGTGATGATGATGATGATGATGATGATGATGATGATGATGATGATGATGATGATGGCATTGTACAAGAGGAACTCATTGACTTGCTACCCCTCACTGGTCAAACGAGGAATCCTTTTTTTCATCTAAAGTAATATCACTTGTTTGTAAACAAAAGAAACGTAAACCAACTACAAATTTCTGTGTTGCGACTGATGGTGCACCGAGTATGAGAGGGACACACAAGGGTTTTGTTTCTTTATTAAGGAAATATCTGGATCTTGATGTGATATCATTTTACCGCATCAGTCATCAAGATACACTGTGTGCACAGTCTTTACCACCAGAGTTCACACAAGTGATGACCTTAGTAGTGAAAACTGTCAACAAAATAATAGTAAAAAGACTTAAGCCAGCGACAGTTTCGTGAACTTCTGAAAGAGGTTGATTGTCAGTATTCAGACCTTCTCCTTAACAACAATTACTAGTATAGAGGACGAGTACTCGTAAGGTTTACAGTCTGTCTGGGTAGAAGTGAAGAAATATCTGCGTGATAAAGGCCATGAATATTCTTAGCTATAAAATTTCCCGTCATGGTGGAAGTCGCTTTTAAATGACCTTAACAGAAGACTAAAGGAAAGGGAAACATCTCTGTTGCTATTAGAAGAACTGTTGCTATTAGAACGAAAGTTACCTTTGTTTGTGAGGGATATTGAGAAAGTTGATCAATTAGTAATGAGGAGAAGACTAATTAGGTCTGAGAGGCGTCCTGCAGATTATAAATGGCATTGCCACCAACTCGTCTTTACGTAATCATTATAGCATGTATTGTATTATAATATTTCTAAGGTACTAATCGCTTGTTCATATCTTGTTTGACATTCATTACCTCCTGGAAAAGTCCAAATTACCCTCTCGGAGTAATTTACTCAGAGTGTAGTATCCGCACTGGACAAGAATCAAATGCTCTGTCTGTTCATATGAGAGAATCTGATCATCCGACTAATTAGGATAATGTTTATAAAGTTGTTTCGTGTAAAACAATTGTTGATTTTAACAATATTAAAACAGTAATTATTAGGAATACTGTTAATAGTAATGTTAACCGTATTTTTGGTTATATAAATTAGGTCCTTCCATCATTAACAACTTTGTCACAAGTCTATGGTGAGTATTGCATCGTAGTCCTTCCAGACTTTATGTGACCACCGGGAAGTTGTTACTTGTCTCCCGGCACCTGTATGTAGATCTCATTCTTGACTCTTGGCCTTAGTTGTTGAAGCTCAGTAATAACACATAGCGTCAACGTCTGGCAGCTCACTCTTACTATATCTCCTGAAGATGTGAATAATCACGAAAGCGCTTGGATCTTGTTCGCGCTTCTGGGTCCTGGTGGTCACCAATATCTTATATGAACTATGTTACAGATATGGCTCCTCATCCTAGCATCAATGGTTGCGGTCATGATGATGATTTTCTTCATTGAGTGGGGTGAGAGTTTCCTCTTCCGTCAGCAACAGAGGTAAACAGTATATAACTGCTCAGTAAATAAAACTCCATGTAGCTAGAAAGCTGTAGATATTTTGTATAATAAAAAAATATCCATAAGATTGCCAGCGCTAAGCCTTTTGAGACATGAAGCTTTCTCGAGGAGCTATATAACGTTTTCAATTAATTGTCAAGCAGTTAATCTGGTATATGACACGTATATAGTTCTCTCCCACAAATGTTCGATTTTCGCATTTACATTTTGCAAATCTTTGATATAGTATTTGTACGGTGTGGTGTCTTAATGTCCATTTATAGTATAACAGTAACCAGCCGTTATATCTGTGTGGTGCCTGAGGCTCCTCTTATAGTATAACAGTAACCAGCCGTTATATCTGGGTGGTGCCTGAGGCTCCTCTTATAGTATAACAGTAACCAGCCGTTATATATGTGTGGTGCCTGAGGCTCCTCTTATAGTATAACAGTAACCAGCCGTTATATCTGTGTGGTGCCTGAGGCTCCTCTTATAGTATAACAGTAACCAGCCGTTATGTCTGTGTGGTGTTTGAGGCTCCTCTTATATTATAACAGTAACCAGCCGTTATGTCTGTGTGTGCCTGAGGCTCCTCTTATAGTATAACAGTAACCAGCCGTTATATCTGGGTGGTGCCTGAGGCTCCTCTTATAGTATAACAGTAACCAGCCGTTATATATGTGGTGCCTGAGGCTCCTCTTATAATAACAGTAACCAGCCGTTATATCTGTGTGGTGCCTGAGGATCCTCTTATAGTATAACAGTAGCCAGCCGTTATGTCTGTGTGGTGTTTGAGGCTCCTCTTATATTATAACAGTAACCAGCCGTTATGTCTGTGTGGTGTCTGAGGCTCCTCTTATAGTATAACAGTAACCAGCCGTTATATCTGGGTGGTGCCTGAGGCTCCTCTTATAGTATAACAGTAACCAGCCGTTATATCTGGGTGGTGTCTGAGGCTCCTCTTATATTATAACAGTAACCAGCCGTTATATCTGGGTGGTGCCTGAGGCTACTCTTATAGTATAACAGTAACCAGCCGATATATCTGGGTGGTGCCTGAGGCTCCTCTTATAGTATAACAGTAACCAGCCGTTATGTCTGTGTGGTGTCTGAGGCTCCTCTTATATTATAACAGTAACCAGCCGTTATATCTGTGTGGTGCCTGAGGCTCCTCTTATAGTATAACAGTAACCAGCCGTTATGTCTGTGTGGTGTCTGAGGCTCTTCTTATATTATAACAGTAACCAGCCGTTATATCTTGGTGGTGCCTGAGGCTCCTCTTATAGTATAACAGTAACCAGCCGTTATATATGTGTGGTGCCTGAGGCTCCTCTTATAGTATAACAGTAACCAGCCGTTATATCTGGGTGGTGCCAGGAGGCTCCTCTTATAGTATAACAGTAACCAGCCGTTATATCTGGGTGGTGCCTGAGGCTCCTCTTATAGTATAACAGTAACCAGCCGTTATATCTGTGTGGTGCTGAGGCTCCTCTTATAGTATAACAGTAACCAGCCGTTATATATGTGTGGTGCCTGAGGCTCCTCTTATAGTATAACAGTAACCAGCCGTTATATCTGTGTGGTGCCTGAGGCTCCTCTTATAGTATAACAGTAACCAGCCGTTATATATGTGTGGTGCCTGAGGCTCCTCTTATAGTATAACAGTAACCAGCCGTTATATATGTGTGCCAGTGCCTGAGGCTCCTCTTATAGTATAACAGTAACCAGCCGTTATATATGTGTGGTGCCTGAGGCTCCTCTTATAGTATAACAGTAACCAGCCGTTATATCTGTGTGGTGCCTGAGGCTCCTCTTATAGTATAACAGTAACCAGCCGTTATATCTGTGTGGTGTCTGAGGCTCCTTTTATAGTATAAACCAGTTATATCTGTGGTGCCTGAGCAGAACCCAACCGTTATGTCTGTGGTGCAAGAGCTCCTCTTATAGTATAACAGTAACCAGCCGTTATAGCTGGGTGGTGCCTGAAGCTCCTCTTATAGTATATCAGTAACCAGCCGTTATATCTGGGTGGTGCCTGAGGCTCCTCTTATAGTATAACAGTAACCAGCCGTTATGTCTCTGTGGTGCCTGAGGCTCCTCTTATAGTATAATATTAACCAGCCGTTATATCTGGGTGGTGCCTGAGGCTCCTCTTATAGTATAACAGTAACCAGCCGTTATGTCTGTGTGGTGCCTGAGGCTCCGCTTATAGTATAACAGTAACGAGCTGTTATATCTGTGTGGTGCCTGAGGCTCCTCTTATAGTATAACAGTAACCAGCCGTTATATCTGGGTGGTGCCTGAGGCTCCTCTTATAGTATAACAGTAACCAGCCGTTATAGCTGTGTGGTGCCTGAGGCTCCTCTTATAGTATAACAGTAACCAGTCGTTATAGCTGTGTGGTGTCTGAGGCTCCTCTTATAGTATAACAGTAACCAACCGTTATGTCTGTGTATGGTGCCTGAGGCTCCTCATATAGTATAACAGTAACCAGCCGTTATATCTGGGTGGTGCCTGAGAGCTCCTTTTATAGTATAACAGTAACCAACCGTTATATCTGGGTGGTGCCTGGGGCTCCTCTTATAGTATAACTGATAACCAGCCGTTATATCTGTGTGGTGCCTGAGGGCTCCTCTTATGAGTATAACGGTAACCAGCCGTTATATCTGTGTGGTGCCTGGGGCTCCTCTTATAGTATAACAGTAACCAGCCGTTACTCATCTGGGTGGTGTCTGGAGGCCTCTTATAGTATAACAGTAACCAGCCGTTATATCTGTGTGGTGCCTGAGGCTCCTCTTATAGTATAACAGTAACCAGCCGTTATATCTGTGTGGTGCCTGAGGCTCCTCTTATAGTATAACAGTAACCAGTCGTTATATCTGGGTGGTGCCTGAGGCTCCTCTTATAGTATAACAGTAACCAGCCGTTATATCTGTGTGGTGCCTGAGGCTCCTCTTATAGTATAACAGTAACCAGCCGTTATATCTGTGTGGTGCCTGAGGCTCCTCTTATAGTATAACAGTAACCAGCCGTTATATCTGGGTGGTGCCTGAGGCTCCTCTTATAGTATAACAGTAACCAGCCGTTATATCTGTGTGGTGCCTGGGAAACCACTCTTATGAATATAGCAATGACAGCCGTTATATGTGTGGTGCTGAGGCTCCTCTTATAGTATAACAGTAACCAGCCGTTATATCTGTGTGGTGCCTGAGGCTCCTCTTATAGTATAACAGTAACCAGCCGTTATATATGTGTGGTGCCTGAGGCTCCTCTTATAGTATAACAGTAACCAGCCGTTATGTCTGTGTGGTGTCTGAGGCTCGTCTTATAGTATAACAGTAACCAGCCGTTATATCTGTGTGGTGCCTGAGGCTCCTCTTATAGTATAACAGTAACCAGCCGTTATGTCTGTGTGGTGCCTGAGGCTTCTCTTATAGTATAACAGTAACCAGCCGTTATATCTGTGTGGTGCCTGAGGCTCCTATTATAGTATAACAGTAACCAGCCGTTATGTCTGTGTGGTGTCTGAGGCTCCTCTTATAGTATAACAGTAACCAGCCGTTATATCTGTGTGGTGCCTGAGGCTCCTCTTATAGTATAACAGTAACCAGCCGTTATGTCTGTGTGGTGTCTGAGGCTCCTCTTATATTATAACAGTAACCAGCCGTTATATCTGTGTGGTGCCAGAGGCTCCTCTTATAGTATAACAGTAACCAGCCGTTATATCTGTGTGGTGCCTGAGGCTCCTCTTATAGTATAACAGTAACCAGCTGTTATGTCTGTGTGGTGTCTGAGGCTCCTCTTATAGTATAACAGTAACCAGCCGTTATATCTGTGTGGTACCTGAGGCTCCTCTTATAGTATAACAGTAACCAGCCGTTATATATGTGTGGTGTCTGAGGCTCCTCTTATAGTATAACAGTA